AACAAATCAATAGGTGGCTCGGTGGAACAACCCTCTGTTTTTGAACTTGTACTCTCACATCCAAATACGAATCCGAAACCCAGGCATGTGCACCGAGTTTTTTGACCTATCGCACATCATCGCATAGCATTTTGTTGTTTGGTTCCCAGCTCTGCTCCGTGTGTAATTTTGAACAGGTGTTTCCAAGCGCTGTCTCGGTTTTTTTTTGTGGTTTTGTTTGCTGTATATATACACATTCGGTATGTACGGGAGTATTAATCCTAAGCTGCCCTGCCCCGATGTCTGGGATCAGCCTTTTTTTTGCCTCTTTAGCTGATAGGTTTATTTCTCATCCATTTTCGTATTACTTTTCGGGGGGGCGTTATTCAGGTTTTAATATTTATTCTTTTTTTTTGTATGTTGCAAAAAATTGCCGGAAACAAGAGAGGCCGACGATGCCGTCTGGACTGGTCTGGTCCCGGGCTCTTGAAGCGATCATTTATTATGGCGAAAATAACACTCCTTGAGTTCTGCTCAAATGTAGTCGTCATATGATTTCTCGCCCGTTCATAGTTTGTAATTTATTTTGATTAATGATGGGCGGCACCGACTCACGCTCTCCTCCACTTTGTTTCTCCTATATTTTCTTTCCAACTTTTCCGTTATTTTTTCGAATTCAAGTCTAATTTTAAACCAACTCCCCATTGGCACGCTCTTTGTGTATACTCGTATTTATGTTGATTGATTGTTTAAACAATTTTAAAGCGATTCTGACATGAATATCTCTATTTATTGGGAAATACACTTTTTACAGACCTTTTAGATACAACTTGTTGAGCAGTATATATAATATTTTTGCTAATGTTATAAGTAAAACTGTTGAAAGAAAGTACTACATTATTTTATAAAAAGTAAATAAAATAAAAAGCATGGGTTAATATCAAGCCAAAGAGCGATTAAAGGGTTAAAAGAAGGTTTAGGGGTTAAGCTGCTGCTTGAATGACTGACCGGAAGCTCTCCACATTCTTTGAAGCCGAAGCTTAAGGCCTGAGCTCTCCACTCAAGCAGCCATCTTGGCTTGGCTCTACCGCCATCCTGCCCCCTCCCTTTCTTTCTGCTTCTCCCCACGACTTTTGCTGTCTCTATCTGTTTCCAGCGCTCCTTTTTGCGCACATTTTAATAAAGTTTAATAATTCAATGCGCGCGGTCGAGCCGCTGATGTTGTCTCTTTGTTGCATTTCATCAGCATATGCATATGTTGTTGTTGTTGTTGTTGTCGTTGTCGCTGCTGTTACTGTTTCTCCTTTATCGCTGTTGTTGTTGTTTGTGTTGTAGTCGCGCTCATTAATATGCAAATGTGAGTCAGAAGTGCGGTTGTTGCTGTTCATGTTCTTGTTTTTGGAATTCTTTCTTCTCTTACCTTTTATGCTTGCCCATCATCATTATCATCATCGGTGTCTCCGTTTCGTGTCTCTTTCCTGTTGTAAATTTGAGTATTTTGAATGCAGGTCAACAGCACATTAACCTGTGTATGTGTGTGTGTATGTATGTAATTTGTTTACTGCTGTCCATTTTATTTTTCTTTGGCTTTTATCAGAGTTTTTAAATTACCAAGTAAGCTGTTTCGGTAGTCGACTTTTTGATACCGAGTTACAGGTAATTCGCTATGCGGTTTCACGTCCGCTATGAAAGATAAGTAGAGCAATACACAGTGAGAAATTGGTAGAAGTTTTGGTATTATTTACAATATTATATTATATTTACATTTGTTAGCTACATTTTTTCAGTGTAAAATCAGACAAGTTGCTCAATAAGTATGCAAAATACCCAAGAATTGTATTTAAAGCCGTTTTCGCCACCCTCTTTTCTGTTTCCTTGCATAATAATGCTGTTTCTACATTCTTTCGTTCTTTCTTGCATTGTATTTTTTTGCAATAGCAACCACGCGCCAATTTTTTTCATTGTTGCTAATTGGTTTGCACTTAGCGCTTGCATTTATTTTCATTTTTTATATTTTTGTTCTTATGCAACTCATACAAATGCGCATTTGGTGGCTATCGGCTGCAAATAGTGACGTCACGCGCTAATGTCGAATGATGTCGTCATAAAGTTTGCCCCGAAAGAATCATATGATTTCCTATTTGCTTTAATGGCCAACACTTTAACATACAGCAACAACAACAACTACGACAGCTCAGTCGCACACACACACACACAGAGACACTCACTCACTCACGCTCGCCAGATAACAAAACGAATTCGCTTAAAAATAGCAGAGGTCGTTGGGTCCGGGAAAGGGGAGGTGCTGCGGCGGCGGATGAAGACAAAACAAAATAAATAAACTCTATACATATGCACAGCTTTTATTTGTTGGCCACAGCAGCCGCGCGTGCTTGTTGACGTACATACAAATGTATGTATGTACATATCCATCTACGTACATCAGCCCTGGCTCTCTTTAACAGAGACGGAGAGTGGGGAGAACTTTGCTCTCTGCCACTCTCTCTCACTCTCTGCCCGCAGCTTGGCCTGCCAATTGTTGTGTGGGGAATTTTTTCTTTTATTGTTGACATTTTGATTAGTCCACCTCCTGCGAGAGTGTGAGAGTGTGTGTGTGTGGGGTGGAAAGAGGCGGAGGACAGCTGTTTTGGCTTTGCAATTAAATGACAACAGCAGGAAATCGAGCACACACACTTACACGCAAACAACCACACTTGTACATTGCACTTTATTTGCTTGACAATAAATCAAAATAAATTTTCAAAAGCAAAAGGCAAGGTAGAAAGAAAAGAAACGCAAGGAAATTATTTATGACTGCGTTTACCAGACAAAAACAACTTAATAAAAAGGCACCAAATTCAAAGTTGTACAGTACTTCTTTGATAAGACAAAATTCATAACCATTCCTCTCATTAAACTAGTATAATTTACAAATATTTTAAAACATTTTAAATTCTGTCTGTATTCACAAATGTTAATATTCCTAGTAAATTCAAGGAGCGCTTCACTGTATGTAAACGCCTCCATATGTCCACCACACCTTGATGTAAGAATGTCAAACTCACCACGGCAAATTTTACGCTCTCTCAACAAAAAAGAGAAAAACATATTCCCCATGCTACGTTGTAAATGTAAAAGTTGTTGAGGCCATTTTTTTGTTTTACCAATGCCTCCTCTGTATTCGGGTAAAAGTTTTTGTGGTTGGCTTCAAAAGTTGTGCAACATTGGGAACTCCCCCCTAGAGTAATTTAAGCCATTTACTAGTTTGTAATTTATGCCAGCCTGTCGTAACAGCACGGAGTGGCGCTGCTACGTTTCTCACCACTAAGGTCAAATTTTTTATAACAGAATCCCCACTCCGCAGTCCCCACACACTGTTGTGCACCAATACATTCGTAAGCGCTACGTGTGCCCATTTTGATTCTCGCCCCAAGCTCCATGGCGTCGCATTGAAAATAACAGTAAATGTTATTGTGCCCATTCTCCTCTTTGCTCTGTCCTCGCTCGCTCGCTCCCTCTTTCTCTCTAGCCCTTTTCCTTTCTCCGTCTCTCCTTCTTTGTTGGCCATGTAACTGATGGTTCAATCTCCACCTTCTTTGTTGTTGCTGGTGGATGGCTTTTACCATTTTGCCATTACGTTTTGACTTTGCTTTTTGCACGGCGAGAAATTTGTGCGAAATTTTAAAAGTTTTCAAATAAAGTTACATATTTCAAAAACTCATAACTAAGCCAAAAAACATTAATTTCAATTCGGAATGCTTTCCCATGTTAGTTTTTATTAGGTTAATAAATCTGCTTAGTCAATTTAATTTTCCTTTTTTTCTTTGTAAATTTTTGAAAATTTAACGATGTAACCCCTTATAAAATTTTGGAAAATTTTCGAAAATTTATTTTTCGACTGGACAGGGCTAGATTTATTCAGATGTTGATGCTGATCAAGAATGTATATGATTTATTGGGTCGGAAATTACTCCTTCACTGCTTTACAAGTAGAATACCCTGCAAGGGTATAAAATAAAGATATATTTAGGTTCCTTGCAGTATGGCCTTTGTTATTTGTTATTATTATTTGAGGCTTTTTAATTTCGAGTGTACATTGTAGTCAATATGTTTGTATATCTCTCCGATTTCGCCCATAACTCTCTCTCACTCCGCTTGTGGTCTTCTGATGGATGTGCAACTCGGCACGTCAACTCTTCGACTTTGAGAAAGTAAACTGATCGCGATAAATCGATACTTGGCTGGAATTCTCTGTTTAATCGATCGGCGTAAACAATTGAATGTTTTCGGGGAATATACATACAACAAATCGTGGTAAAACCGTTAGGTGTGAGGCTGCTTTAAATTCATTAAACATAAAACTAAACTCGTTTGCTTTACTACCACTTACTACAGAGCTCGTTCTCTGTTTCTTTTTTTTTTCGGTTTTTTATTATTATTTTTATTTATTTGTTTTTTGGTGGGAAAACTGGTTTAGGCTCGATTTTCCTCTCGCAGCTGTGAGTGTGTATTGGTGCGATATGCTTGACAGCCTTGAAGAGAGCAAAGCGAGAGAAAAAAATAAATAAAATAAGAAAACAAACATAGTCTTACTTGTCATGTTGCCTTTTGTTGTTGCAACATTTATTATACCTCCAAACATACATATGTATGTACAAAATATATATATTTCCTACGTGTGAGTGAGTTTGTTTATAGCCAGTGTTGCAATGCGGTTCAATGCAACTTTGTTGCAGATAATCAATATCAATCTTTGTAATGCACTTTAATTGCCATCATAATTTTGTTTTGTAGAAATTGAAAGGAAAAGAAAAATGTTTAAGCACTTTAACAAAAAAAGGTTAAATTACCAGAGAAAATTTAATTTAAAATAAATATTTAAAATATGATGGGAATACAATTTGATTTAGATTTACATTCCAGAGCGATCATTTATCATCAGCAAACCTTTATTTTTATATTCGATTTCTGCTTAAACTTTACTAACTTGATCTATAACTTTTTCTTTCGATTTATTGCAGATCGTACCGCGAATTATTTGCAGTCACGAAGCAAAACACAAGCGCAGCCTAATAATTGGACGAACTGATTAAACAACAGTTAAACTAAGCGCCGCAAATCAACAGCAAAAATAAAAAGTACAACAACGGCGGTTCAACAGTTGCGAGTTGCAAGTTGCTAGTACATTGCACGTTGCCAATTTGAAATTGCACGCTTCCACGACTGAGAGCAAGCAGGAAGGAAAGGAGCCACCGGTGCCGCTGCCACACACAGCAGGAAGAAGCCGAAGAAACTTCGCTGGGCGAAAGTAAAATCCAAGAGGAAACAACCAATCCGCATCAGCACACTCACAGAGGCGCTCTAGCCAGCCATGGAACGTGAATCCAATCCAATGCAACCCATGTGCCGCTCTGGTTGCGGCTTCTATGGTAACCCTGCCACAGATGGTCTCTGCTCCGTATGCTATAAGGTATGTTCTTAATCATATCTCTCTCGAAGTTCACATGTATTAATTGTTTCCACGTTTTCGATCACAACAGGACTCGCTTAGAAAAAAGCAACAGCCACCTGTGAGCAGCACACCTGTCTCCGTTCCAAGCCCACAACCTAGCCCCACATTCAGTCCGGCCATTGCAATCACCAACACCGCACAGCCCACAGTCACCAGTTTACAACAGCCACACAACGATGTTAAAGAGGTGAGTGCGTTGCGAAGGACTTGCAGGATATAAGGAGAGACTGCTTTGGGAATTTCTTTGAGTTTTATAGGATTAAAGTTTAGATTATTAGATATAAGGCAGGGTCACAAGATATAATGGAAAGAGCCAGGCAGAATGTCTTAGTAAATCAAATCAAATCAAATCGATATACTTTTGCTTACATTTTCCTAATAATCAGATTGGCCTGGCATTTAAAGCTTGTTATATGTAAAGTGTACGTCGCATTCGTTAGTAACTCACAAATTCTGTTGTTTTTTGGACATAAATTCAGTGTTATCTTAAGTGAAAATTGTTTCAACATTATATTTTTGTTTGTTGTTTTGCGTTTAAAGTCGGGTATATCCAAGGAGTTTCGCCTGCACTTTTTCAATTAGTTCTCTGTGTGTTCTTAGTGTTAATGTTAATTTGTGTGTGTAAGATTATACTGATGTGACTCCCACCGGCTACGCTGTTGCAATTTTATACCAGGTAAAGTCTTGAATTACAGACACTTTCCAAGGAGACTTGCTTCCCAAAATAACCACGAAAAATCGGTGCGGAAAATATTAATTGGAGCGAAAGAGGAGAAGTAGGATCTAGAGTTTACCCAGAGAGATAGAAGTGGTGGCTAAGATTTAAAATTAATTTTGTTTTGCCATCAAGTTGTGTACTTATGATAAGCAAATAATGCATCAAGCTTGCAATTTCCTATATTAAATGTTCTTCTGATTAGAGATCCTAGAAATCTTTTGCCCCAGGTATCTCTCTCTAAGTTACCTCTGGAGTCTCCGAATCAAAACAACCTAACGTTTTCGTTTTGTGTCACTTCATCTGGCATTCCCATTCGATATTAGTTAACATTCCTTTCGGCTCGGAACTCAAAATTTTCTGTGATTTCGGCCAGTTATCGAAATTTAATAAAAAATATTTAATTCGCCGAGATGGTTGTATTTGGTGCCTCGCCTCAAAAGAGATCGGGACGCGTTCCGTCGTCAAAACTCACTCCAGTTTCTGCATCGAAATCTAAAATTGGATCCGCTACCCTTCTGGCAGCGGGTCGTCCTACGCGGAGAAGGCCAGCGATCGGCAGTAGTGGAGCGGCGAAGCGAACCTCTGCCGGTGCGCTAACCAATCTGGGTGGACGGCTGGCCAGTGCGCCAAGCCTGGGCATGTTCCATAGTTCCAATTTACTTGCGGACCCAAAGGGTACTACTGATTGCTCCTCTTACTGGGTCTACCGGCGTCGCCCAGACGCACTAACCTCGTTTCCCACCTACACCTCTCTCCTTCACTTTGATGCGATGCTGCAGCACAAAAAACAGCTCTTCGCCACCCACCGATACCGCCGCCACGACCTCTCCGCCGAGCTGCCGCCGTTTCTGCTCTGCAAGCCACCTCTGCACCCGCCATTGGACTTGCTGCCAAGGCATCTGGTGCCGGGCCAGTACATTCCGCCATCCCAATAGCTCCAGCTATCCCTCTTCAGACGTTGCTTCCCAAGAAGAGTGCGCTATCCAAGCGGGCATTGAGCGGAGGAAAGGCTCCGGATACGAGTAACCAGACCAAGCGGCGCGTCAAGTTTTCAACCAATGTGAGTGCACAATCGACGGATACAAACATCACTGCCAAGAAGTCGGTCAGAATTGGGGAACTTCAGCAGAAGAAGCGGGTCAAGAAACTGAAACGGATTCGATCGCGACGGGAAGGTGGTCACGGTGGCAGTGGCATAACACCGATCACTAGTGGCATACTTACCACAAGCCCCCAGGATATTACCAAACACGGGACCATTGTTGATGTGGAACCCTTGACTCCAACACCACCAGCACCCCGTATTTTGCGCCTCAACGTTGTGGGTAAATCTTCACCGGCTACAGGGAAATCTTCACTTCCAACCGCTCTTCGTCGGAAGGTCAAGAGAACTAGATCATCTGTGGTGCAGCAGAAAGCCGCAACAGGAGCAGTAGAAACGACAGCGAAAACAGGCAGCGTCACAAGGATCAGGAGAAGTGTCAAGACTAGACCAAAGGTGAAGACCAGTAAGATTGGTGCCGGCAGCAAACATACATTGCTGGAAACTAGTACCCATTCGGTGGTGGGCAGCAGTGCGGGATTAGTGACGCGCAAGAAAACAGTGCCGACAACTGGGGTTAAGCGACGGACAAAAGCACAGCCTATCAATGGGAGCCGAAGCTATGGAAAAGCCTGAGGGGAAGGACGATCAGCCTGAGAATTCTGCGGAGAATCCGCAGCAACTGACGTCTTCGCCGCAGCCGCAGCAGAATCAAATGCAGAAACGTGCCCGTAGTGCTTCACCCGATGGAGGCGATACTGCTTGGGAGAGACCGCCGGTGGCACCAAATTCACCAGTTCGTGTGAAGAAGCGGGTAATCATCATCTAGCTCATCGTTCGACACTCTTGTCCGTCCTGTCATCCGCTAGGCGAGTCACAAAATAGATTCCAACTTAGCTGATTCGATAGGAATTTTTGGCGGGGCGCCCAGGCGCAACCGAGGCAGCCGCCAAAATGAGACACATCACTCTCAGTATTCGACACAGCGAGAACACTGGCTGAACAATTCGATGAAACACAGTCGAAATCACTTAAACTTGCTTTTACAATAAAAAAAAGAAAGAATAATACGAAAGAAAACACTTTTCAAGGCTTTTTCAATGCACTTCGAGGACAACAACGACGAGGAGAATGTATAGTGGGGATAAATCTTGTGGAGACGTACAACATTAAATATATATTAGGAACTATTTTGTTGGGGAATTTAAATGTTTAAGACAGGTTACACATTTAGAAATGAATTAAGAGCTTGGTTTAAATGTTGGAAGTAGTTGTACAAGTTAGATATCCCTAAAGAACTGACCGCAGCTGTGATGATGATGATGATGATGATGCGAGGCTGCTGTTAGTGCTAGTGATGTTGTCATGCATTTTTGTCATGTGATTAACCTTCATGTTTTTGGTTTCTCTTCCCATTTCCGTACAGAAAATCACCGATGAAGCCGCCGCTGCTGCCAAAGTCAATAGCGAAGCCATCACATCGGCGACTGGTCCAAACACTTCCACACAAGCAGCCGCCTCGGCCAACGAGGAGGATGACAAGGACAAGGAAGACGATAAGGATGCCAAAAAGAAGAAGAACCGATGTGGCGAGTGCCGCAAGAAGGTTGGCCTGACCGGTGAGTCTATAACTTGATTTTCATTATCCCTAATAGGATTACTAATGAGAATATATTTCCCCTATAGGTTTCCAGTGTCGCTGCGGCGGTCTGTACTGTGCCGTGCATCGTTATTCTGATAAACATAACTGCACATTCGATTATAGAGAGCATGGCGCACAGGAGATTCGGCGCAACAATCCGGTTGTCGTTGGCGAGAAGATTCAAAAGATTTGAATTTCGATATTGTGCCAGTAACAGTAAACAGTAGCCGTAGAATGATAATAACCAACCTACACATAATAAGAGTATATATATATGCTACGCTATAAAAAGAAAAACCCACAACCAACAACAGAAGAAGATGAGCAAAGAGCCTAAACCCACACAGAAACACACATATAACACACAAATCCACACAGAGAGTAAAAATACTATATATATATATAAATCGATATAAACTGTAATTATGATGTAAACAAACAGCAAACAGGCAACAATAGTACAGAGAAACAACAACCAAATACCCCGCAAAACTGCAGCAGCAATATCCTGGAACAATAACGGCAACCAATTCGATGCTCAACACCACCAGCCACGTGCAGTACAAGGAGCAACATGCAACATGCAGCAGCAACATGCAGCAACAGCATGCAGCACCTTTCTACATCTTGAACCAGACGCGTAACAGCGTTAGCGCAAAGTGCAATCAACAATCACGACGGCTGCAGTGGTTATTGTAGCAAGCGGCCGCAATAAAACATCATTCATCCATCCATCATCAAGCAACAAGGAACAAAACCTACAAGCAGTACAACAACAATTACTACAACAACAACTACCGATGGACCTTGGTCGCCTGCTGAGCTGGGGCTGAATGAAACCGTCTTGAAGGAAATAACAACATCAACAACAACAACAACAAGAATTGCTACATCAACAACAGCAGCAACAATAACACCTTTTATCGACTAGTGTTGAAACATTTTATTTTTTCTTTTGTTATTCCAAAAAAATACAATTTGCAAATTGTTTGTATTTAGCTAAAAAACACACCGCCACATTTACAACGACAAGCAAGCACACAACAAAATCAACCATTGTTACCATGTTACATACAACGCAACAGCTTTTAAGTAAGACGATGTGTGTCTTTTGTTTTTGTAATTCGTTGGAGTGTATTAAATAATAAAAAAAAATAAGAAAAAATATGAGAGTATATAGAAAACAAACTTCAAGAAATGGTTAAGAACAAAATTTAACAAGCCCCCAAACCATACACACACACAAACACAACAACACACACACACCAACCAACTCTTTCTCAATTCTTTATTATCAGCTACTAAAATGAGGAAAAACAAAACAAAAAACAAATATATATTAATTAATTATGTATATGTATTAAAAAGAGAGTAAAAAGCAAAGAAAAAAATATGCAAAAATTTAAGCGTAAAAAAACAACAAAACCCTCACCATAAAAACAAAAACAAAAAATGTAAAAAAAGGAAAACAAAAACAAAACAACCTGAAGAAAAGAAACCAAGAATAACGCAATTGTGTAAAAGAGAGAGCTCCTTAAAAACAGTTTGCTAAAAAAAACCAAGACCACGCCAAGCCAATAAAAAGTGCGAGAAAGAGAATTTGTGCGAGCGAGCAGAGAGTTAAGGGAGAGAGAGAGCAAGAGTAGGGCGCGTTTAGTGTAAAGCAACTTGGAGCATAACAACTCCCTAATTTAGAGATATATAAATATATAATTATGTATAATTAATTAGTGAATCAAAGCAGGCAAATGCAGTGCAAGCGGCGTTTTTTCTTCGTTTTACGTTTTACCATTTTTGAACCCCCCACAAACCCCCACTCCTTATCCCTGCCCCTCTAACATAAAAAATTGAATTGATTTTAATTTTTATTTTTATTTTTTCCGATGAATTATATACATTTATATGCATAATATTAAACTATATCTCTACTACATCTACATAACTGGTAGGCTTACATGTATAGTTTTCTTTTTTGGGTTTATGCACGTTAAGGCGAAAGATTTAACTAAAAAACAAACAGCTAAAAAAAAAACACATATTCTATAAATATAGAAAGATCGAAAGAAAAATCTGCAAACACAAAAAAGAATAAAAAATGCAAAATATACACACAATAAATATATATGGTTCATCTTTAGATTTCTTTATTGCTTTAAGCGTTATTTAGTTTTTCTTTGTTTATATTAAAAACACACACACACACACAACAAGCAAACAGTTTTTATTTCCGCTTTCTCTTCATTTTGTAGTAAATAATTTACAATTTTTATTCAAAACCAATTTACACCTATGCAAATATAAATTTAAATCTAGCAATAAATTTTGTTGTTAACCCCCTCTAAAAACCTTAAAAAACAAACAAAATGAAAAAAAAAATCAAAAAACAAAATTTTAAGTAAATCCAAAAACTTATCAATAACAACAAATGGAAATATTGCAATAAATTTTGATTCTACAATTAAAAAACAACAGGAAAATTCAAGAAACTCCCTCACGACCAACCCAACACACACAGAACTGAGTGAAATCGTTATCCTTTCGCAGGAAGCAAAATAAAAGCCGACACCAAACACTCGCCTTTAACCAAACGCCTTTCTCCACAATTTTGAGATAAGAAATTGATTACTGGCAGAACCAGATCAGTCTCTAGTTAGCCAAGTGCCTTTGGGTCACCAGAGGCAAGGCTAGCTACGGGTTGATTGGAGGAATCCGATCCTAAAGCGGGTCCCTAGATCCTAGAGATCCTCTTTAGGCTCCATAGATTCAAGAACAAAGCAATCCAGCAATAGTCAAGTCCAGCCGTAGTCAAAAAACATTTGAATTGTACAAAATCAGAAAGTTGAAAATGAGAGGAAATCAACAAAACTTCAACTAGAAACCGACTTCAATATTTAATTACTAACAAAAGATGAAAATCAAGTGTACAGAGCAAGATAATAAACAAAAAGAATGCAAGATATTAGGGCAACAAGAACAGCAAAATGTCATTATAATTTTTAATTTTTTCCACCATAAACAAAAAGGCAAACCCCACAAACACTTTACACTTATACGTATATCATAATTTAATGCATTATAAAAACAAAAACCTTTAAAATTAATTAGTAAAATTGTACACCACACACAACAAGGGGGAAAAGAGTTTTAAAAGAGAATTAACAATACAAAAGTTCAGCACAGTTTACAAAATGTTTCAGTAATAACTTTAAATGATAAATAAAAGTAATAATATTTACTTGAACCAAGTTTCTGTATTCTTTGAATAGTTGTAGGTTTTCATTTTAAAATAATTTTAAAATAATTTACCATAATTTACAATGCTTTAGTGTGCTTTTAGTTGAAATTGTGTTTATATGTTTAACGACAACAAAAAATAAGAGTAAAGTGAAAAGGCAAATAATAATTATAAAACTAAGCGTAAATAAACAAAAACTTTTATTATTATTAACCAACCAACGTTTATTCTAGTAGTTTCTTATTAATAATATTTACCATTACCATTAATTATTAATTATATATATATATACTTTTTTTTGTGTGCACACCTCTTAGTCACTTTTGCGCTTATAATCTAATCAAGCCACACAAACACACATATAAACCCGAACCTGATCCTGATCCTGATCCTGATCCAGAACCCATCCATCCGGATCTTGTTCCGCCAAAAAGAAAAAGAAACTCTATTTGTGTTAAATCTTTTGCAATTGCTAGCCGAATTTGATCATTGTTTGATTTTTACTTTTTTGGAATATGTGTAAACACTGTTTTGTAGAATGGAGAAGCGGAAACGGAAACGAAACGAAATTAGTTGACATAAGCGTATGAATGGGATATTATTATTATGAACCTTATGAATGCATCCAATCTATCTACAGCCACTTTATGCGTATATAAATATTGTACTAACGTGTAATTTGTAATTAAATGCGAAGAATATCTGCGGCCAGGTGAGAGGATTGATAGAGCGAACGATAAATGGAGGTGGTAACAGTGAACATATATTTAACACAGAAATGGTAAAGCTAGAAAATCTAAATAGAAATAGATATATATATACATGCATATATACCTATATATATATATGAGCCTCAGATCTGAGCGTATATAAGAGCAACAACTATTTTAATTAAACTTAAACAAATGCATAAACAAATACAATAAAAAGAATAGAAGATAAAAACAAGAGCAACCACAACAAATTTCAGTACGAGAAACCAGAGAAAGAAAATAAAAAACCCAAAATTAACTTCAAGATTTATATAGCTAACTAAAAGAGATAATGAGATAATGTTCAATAAATGGCGATTATATAATTTTTAAAAACAATTTGCATGTTTTATTTGTTCAACTTCATTTAGCAAAAGAGATTCCTCCATTCTTTCTGCTTTCCCATAAAAAACAAACCAAAACCCAAGAAGCCAAGCCAAGCCAAGGTGCTAAGTAGAATAGAAACAAGGATAAAGATCGAGGATAATGGTTGATCTGGTGGAGAGAAGAAAGGATTCAGTGGCTCTGGGGATCAGCTTCGCAGTATAATGGTTGGTTCGTTCATGCAATAGTTATAAAAACCTTAACTAAAGTCACAGCAAGTGTTCAAAAGTAAAACTCAGTAACTACCTAAACTCAGCAAGTAAATTGTAAAAATAATAATAATGACATTTTTGTGTGTGCTTATTTCGTTATAATAATTTGTAATCAAACACAATAATACAACTAATCAATTCATAATGCTACAAAAAAGGAAAAGGTTTTGGATCAGTAATAGAATATATATATCGAAATGGAAACAAAAAGAGAGATATAATGCAAGTAACAATTTCAAATATTTGGCAGATTCTTCGCGAAAGGCAAATCTATTAATGAATGCGTAGATCTAAGGAAAATCGAAGGAAAATATATATAAACAAGATATATATATATATATATATATACAAGATATAACAGTTAATGAATGATGCAGCAGCAGCAGCAATGTCGTAAAAATAACAACAACAAAATATATCTTAAGTATAAATGAGTATATATATATAGACTATATCTGTATATCTGATAAATGAGAAATCGCTAAAACTGATAAACTTAAACCTAAGTAAAATTAAAAAGAAAATACAAAAGAAAACAAAAAACACGGAAAGAAATGGAACTAATAAAGAGAATTATTCTGAGAAATATAAAAAAACACAAAAGTGCGTTGTCTTATTTTTAATGGAGAAATGTTTTGCTTAAATGTTAATGGATCACCTGCTCTTACTTAGCATTTCAAATTGACTTTATTTCTTTATAATGAGATCTAATGGAGGCAGTCAACAAAGCCATTGCAATCTCTCAAGTGATTGTGCGCAATAAAATACATATATTTTCCAGATAAGAAAGCGAAAAGCAACTGTAAACATTTATCTCCCAGCCTGGTGAGGAACTTCAACCCAAGAACCGACAACTCTCTGAGCTGCAAGATCAGTTCTCCTCTGTCTTTCAAAGCATTCGGTTGATCTTAAAAAATATCTCTGGAGCAAAAACGAGAGGTGACCCACATTGAGAAGCTGCTAAGATGTCGACTGTGCAAACCGGTGAGTTACAGAGATAAGCTGATATTCTGGTTCTTATCTTTGCTCATCAAATATTAAAATTTTTCACTCTTTCTCCTCTTTTAAGTTCTGGGTACCATTACCCCCAACCTTCTGGGTCGTACTCTGACCCATGAGCATGTGGCTCTGGATTTCGAGCACTTTTATCGTCCACCTCCTCCGGACTTTGAGAGCGAACTCAAGGCCAAGATTAGCATGTCCACCCTGGGCTATGTCCGTCTGTATCCATATTCCAGCAAGGAGAACGTGAGGTTCTATGATGGAGATGCTCTGGAGGCGGCCAAGAAGGATGTGCTGCTCTACAAGAAACATGGTGGTGGTAGCATTGTCGAGAATAGCAGTTATGGCTTGAAACGCAATCTGGAGTTCATTGTGGAGCTGGCCAAGAGCACAGGTGTGCATTTTATAGCCGGTACAGGTCACTATATCCATGCCATGCAGGATGCCAGTCATGCCAGCTTGAGTGTAGAGCAATTGAGTGATTTGTACTCCAAGGATATTATTACGGGTCAGGAGGTTAATGGCAAGATGGTCAAGTGTGGGTTTATAGGCGAAGTGGCCAGTGTTTATCCCATTCATGGTGAGAAATTAAAATGTTGAGTCTGTATTTCATTTCTCATTTGTTATTTATTCTCTTCAGATTTCGAAAAACATTGCATCAAGGCAGCTGGTGAGATCCAGGAGGTTCTGGGCTGTGGTGTTTCCATGCATCCGCATCGCGTGACCCAGGCACCCTTTGAGATCATGCGTCTGTACTTGGAGGCAGGTGGCAAGGCTGACAAGTGTGTCATGTCTCATTTGGATCGTAAGTCTGACTCCTACATACTTCTATATTATCTATAAAAATTCCCTGTCTTCTAGGCACCATCTTCGATTTGGATGAGTTGCTGGAGTTTGCCAAGCTGGGCTGCTATATCCAATATGATCTCTTTGGCACCGAGTGCTCCTTCTATCAGTTGAACACCAATGTGGACATGATCTCCGATGGCCAACGTATCGATAATCTGATTAAGCTCATGAATGAGGGCCTGGTGGACAAGCTGCTCATGTCCCACGACATCCATACAAAACATCGATTGGTAAAACTAAAATTATCTCGATTTTATAAATATATTTTCTAACTCTATATCTTTCTATATATAGACTTCCTATGGCGGTCATGGCTATCACCATATTCACACCAATATTTTGCCACGAATGTTTGCCCGTGGCGTAACTCTGGAGCAAGTGGAGCAAATGACGGTCACCAATCCGGCCAACTGGCTGGCCTTTAACCCCTAGTTGTTGTTTTGGTAGCATCTCGTTCCATTTTAATTACGGCGCGGATTAGATAAGGCTTTGTTATTTTGGCAATAATAAAATGGGCGTGCCTACGAATTCAAAGTCTTATCAGTTTTTGTTTTTTAATTACGACACCAGTTTTTGGGGGCTCGTGCTTGAATTTTGTGGATGCAATTAGTAAATATGTTATGGATTGTTGGACTAACATTAATATTAATACTCTACTGTAATTGCATTTATTTTTATACCCTTGCAGGGTATTATAATTTCAGTCAGAAGTTTGCAACGCAGTGAAGGAGGCACCTCCGACTATATAAAGTATATATATTCTTGATCAGGATCAACAGCCGAGTCGACCTAGCCATGTCCGTCTGTCCGTCTGTCCGTCTGTCCTTCTGTCCGTCTGTCCGTCTGTCCGTCTGTCCGTCTGTCCGTCTGTCCGTCTGTCCGTTTCTACGCAAACTAGTCCCTCAGTTTTGAAGCTATCTGAATGAAACTTTGTAGTTAGCCTTCTATATACTCTCACTCGTATATATGTCGGAACGGGCCGGATCGGACGACTATATCATATAGCTGCCATAGGAATGATCGGAAAATTTTTACAAAAATTTTTTTAACTTTTTCAGTTTTCAATAGAATTGGATCAAATTTGAGATATAGCCATTTCACTATACTCTACAATTTTGCATAAAATTTTATGAAAATCGGACTACTATATCATATAGCTCCCATAGGAACGATCGAGAAATTAATACATTTAAATTTATAACCTTTTCAGTTTTCAACTGATTTTCATTAAATTTTAGGTATAGGCATTTTATAATAGTCTTAAATTTTGTGTCAAATTTCATGAAAATCTGACTATTATATCATATAGGTGCCATACAAACGATCGTTTGATGTAGAGGAAAAATGCAAATCTTTGAATGTAAAACTGCAAATATAATATGTATAGGTGAATACAATGAAAGCAGGTATTACTTCATTGTTTTTTAACACAAATATATATCATTTATATTGTATGGTTTTTTATTCATAGAAGTTCTATCTGCAAGGGTATATAAACTTCGGCGTGCCGAAGTTAGCTTCCTTTCTTGTTTAGTATGCAATTTGTAAGGGAATAATTTAAAACCCAAAATAAATGAAAGAATTATATAAGAAAAGGTGGTAAATAATTGAAACTAAACTTTTATTATAGACAGATGTTTAACAAATTAGCTTAAACATTTGCATTAATATTTAAGGTATACCAACTCTTAAGTTGGGAATTATAGCATGGTGCAAGGAATAAATAATTGTTTTAAATTATATAGCATATATAAAAAGGTAAGATTACTTAAAATTTATGATAATAAAATAAATATCAATATAGAAATTATGCAGTCTTAGTTAAAGACAAAAAACATTAGTTCTAATATCAAAGTTGGGAATAATACCAAAGAGCAAAATATGTAAAAGTGCTGAAGCTGCACAGAGCCTGTAATTACAATTAAAATAAATACAATTGAGTAGTTTTAATCATTCTTTTTATTTTGTTTTAATTTACAAAATCAAACTTAACTAAAAACGAGAAGAATCTTTAAAAATTTCCACTGTTTCTAAGCGTAGATAACACTATAATACACACTCTTATCGATTTTGACCCGTATTATGTGAGATATAAACCAACTACCCAATTCTTTGGACTTGTTTCCCCACTGAGAGGGTTCGAATAGTTCCGATGATGTTGCCAAAAAAATAAAACAGAGGGAAAATAGCAAGTACAAACGAAACGTTATCGTTGTTATTGTTTGCCGGCACAACCTTATCAGGTCGTCGTCAGGCCAGGTCCCATAAAGTGACCAGCCGGCAATCGGTACGGCAAAGGTGCCGTATTTTTACGACCAGTCCGCCAATACAGTCTCCTCATCCATTTTCCGGCGGCTATATATACCAGTTTCAATTATTGTCGCATTCAGCAGTATTCAGCAAGCAGTCAACATCAGCGGTTATCCTCAGAAAAAGTGAAATCAGAAAGCTAAAACCATGTCCCAGGCAGTGATTACGGATACACCCCAGGAAGAGAATGATTCAACAACCAAAACCAACGGTTCGACCGAGAATGGCAAGGTGGAGGATCTGAAGAGACCCATACATGTCTCCGGCGGAGTGGAGGAGATCATAGATCCGTTCTGTAATCCGGACAATCCTCAGAGAATATCCTTCCATGATGTGACATCAGCGGCTTTTCTTATACGTGGTGGAGTGGAGCGTACTCCTTGTCCGGTATTATATTTCTATATATATATGTTATATTATTTTATGGGATATTTCCTATAATGTGAGAGTAAATTACAGAAATCCACATCATCGGAACTTTATGGCATGGATTTGTATTTGAAGAAGGATTTCCTGCAATTCACGGGCAGGTAAGTTGTGGGGGAAAAACGTATAGGAAATATATAGAACAAGAAAGAAAGTTTTCTTGAAGTCAATGTTTGTAAAACATTACAGTTTGCAATTACTAATTCTAAAATAGTCGAATTTTTAAACCAACTTTTACGACATTTTCATATGACAATTTTTTCCCCAAATCAAAGTTTAAAAAACTCATAACTAAGCCAAAAAAAGGATTAATTTCAATTCGGAAAGCGTTCCTATATTAGTTTTTATTAGATTTAAAAATTTGCTTAATTATTTTTTTATTAAAAAAAATTAATTTTTTTGTCCATTTTTTTTTTCAATTTTAACGATGTAACCCCTTATCACAATTTGAAAAAATTTAAAAATTGTATTTTTCTTCCGAGAACGGCTATATTGATTCGGCTGTTAATGCTGATTAAGAATATATATGATTTATAGGGTCGGAAATGATTTCTTCACTGGTTTACAAGCTTCTGACTAAAATTATAATACCCTGCAAGGTTATAAAAATGTGTGAGTTGGTATATAATATATATGAAATATATAGAACATTTTTACGAATTATTTAATGAATTATACAGAAGGAAATCAAAGAATTCATAGTTTCACTAAAAACTTATAAGTTTTCCCATTTCTTTTGTAATATTTTTGAAATTATGGAAACTACTATTTTTATTGTTTAAATTTTCTTTTGTCATAAGGCCAGAAAAAAGCATGCTAACATCCATTATTGTTCCGATAAAGAATACTAATTTTAGGACAATCTAATAGTCGAATTTAATGACCTCATTAATAGGTTTATATAAACTTTATAGAACGGGGTTTCCTGTTAAAGTTTTTATTATTTAAACTTTTTTTTATTTACCCAACTAATACACATAAATTACAAAATGATTAATTCAATTAATTATTTCCTTTATTTACTTATATTATTGATGGGAAATTCAGGTCCAAAGAGCATTTTACTTGTGCTTAATTATTGTATTTTAATGATTATAATATAGAGCTTAGCTACATATTATAGGAATTATTGTCTGGAGGTTTAATTTAAAATTTCAACTGATAAGCTACTGTCTACACTTGCATTATAATGTATTTTTTCATTATTTGTTAATGTATACAATCGTTCACTAGATTTTTGTAATTCTCTATTATGATTGAATGATTGAAAGGGGCGCGTAAAATTTTGGCTATACATTTTGGCCAAGATTCGATAAGATAAGTGTTAATTGGCCGATATGGTTCGATGGGGCAAATTAATAACTGTTGCTAATTGATTTTTGATTTCATGATCGCCATGTGACGACTGACAAGCAAATTCATTTTCTTGACAGCTTCAAGGAGCGTGGCGCACGCTATGCCTTGTTATCACTCACCGAGGAGCAGAAGAAAAAGGGTGTGATTAGTGCCTCCTTGGGTAATCATGCCCAGGCTTTGTGCTATCATGGCTGGAAACTTAATATCCCGGTTACCGTGGTCATGCCCAAGGCAGCCACCATTATGAAGATCCAGAAGTGTCGCAAATTCAAGGCCCGGGTCATTGTCGATGGCAATGATATGGGTGAGGCCAAGTCTCTGGCGTTGCGTATGTCCCGCGATGAGGGTTTGCTCTATGTGAATGGCTACGATCATCCGCATATAATGGCAGGACAGGGTACCATTGGTCTGGAGATTCTAGAGCAAGTTCCAGATCTGGATGCCGTGGTGGTTCCCGTGGGAGGAGGTGGTCTTATTGCAGGCATTGCCACTGCCGTAAAGGCTATTTCTCCCAACACTAAAATTATTGTGAGTATTCTAAATATTCTTCTTAGTTGTTTCTTTAATATTTATTTAAATATTTCAAAGGGTGTGGAGTCTGAGAAGTGCGCCAGTTTCTCGAGAGCCTTGGAGAATAATGGCCCCATTCACACTCCTATCAAGAACACTCTGGCCGATGGTTTGGCTGTGCCCAAAGTTGGCTATAATGCTTTTGCCACGGCCAAGCCACTCATCGATCGCATGGTGGTGGTCAAGGAGGAATGGATTGCAGTGGCCATTCTCCGGCTGGTGGAGGAGGAAAAGTGTGTGGTCGAGGGAGCAGGTGGAGCAGCCTTAGCTGCCATTTTAGCTGGTCAGTTGGATGAGCTTAAGGGAAAGAAGTGAGTGTGAATTTACTATTTTATTCCACAATTTATACATTTAAATCCTTCTTCTCCAGAGTTGTGATCCTTTTGTGTGGCGGCAACATAGATACCACTGTCTTTGGACGCTGTTTGGAGCGAGGACTGGCCGCTGTGGGTCGCCTGGTCAAGTTCAATGTGGAGGTCAGCGATCGTCCTGGCGGCATTAATGATCTGTGCGCTCTGCTTTATCGCGTTGGTGTCTCCATCAAGGATATTATGCATGAGAGAGCCTGGCTAAGGGACATCTACACTGTGGAGGTAAAGGTGGTGTGTGAAACTGTGGACTGGTCGCACAGCATGGAGCTGAGAGATGAGCTCAAGAAGTTCTATGCCAAAGTGCAGTTCTCCGATGTCCCAATGGCCCTGACCCAAGAAGTCAAATCGTAAACGGATCTTTTCTATATGTATATATATATATATATATCTATAGTGTATATAGTACACATATGATTTATTCAAAAAACTTAAAACTTAGAGCTTAGTGGCTTATGGGTATGTAAACTATAATCGTAGTCGAAGTAGAAATGTAAATTAGGCGTAAATAAATATACATAAAATACAGAGTCTAGAAATGAATTGACCAACGTAAGGATTTCATACTTAACTCAAAACACAAACAACTAAGAATATAGAAATTCACAAGCTTAGGACTATAATGCAGTTCGTTCTTCCAGCAGACACACAATATCATCTTTTTATTTTGTTTTGTTTTTTATTTTTCGTTTTTTAAGATCTCTTTGCGGTTTTTGGCACATTAAGGATTCATTACATACATACACAATCAGGATCAGTCAGACAAACACACTTAGTACGATACGAAATTTACAATTACATGGCTAGAAAATATATATATATTTCGTCTCTTTATAAATATTATTTTATGTGGTAAAATGTATAGTATAATTCGTTATCTCATAAATACAGGCATCTCGTTGTTAAGTCCTTCCCTTGGACATGACGTACTTTAAAAGCGCAGACTAAACCTACATTGAGTATGCTAAGGGACGTTTTTTGGATGGATGCTCTCTCAGTGGCTGTTGTCCAGGCGCAGGATCAGGGCATCCACCACATTATAGATCTCATCGAAATGCGGCCGGGATTCGGCATCCGCTGCCCAACACTTGAGCATCAGGCGATACATTTCCGCTGGTGTATTCTCTGGCGTTGGCATGCGATATCCTTCTAAGCGAAAGTTTAAATCAGTATTATGTTTATAAATTAATTATAAATATAATTTTTACCCGTATCAATGCGTTCTCTGGCCCGGGAATTGCTCATGCCGGAGTATGGTGTATCCCCCTTGGAGTAGATTTCCCACATGAGGATGCCATAGGACCAGACATCACACTGGGAGGTGTATTTGCCAAAGTTTAAGGCCTCCGGAGCTGTCCACTTTACGGGTATTTGCTTCATGCCATCGGATACTAATTTAAAATATATAATTTTAAGTTTAAATTTACTTTTTATTAGTTTTATACTTAATAGATTCCCACCTATATACTCCTCTTCCTCGCGTGACATGCCAAAGTCAGAGATCTTTACACAGTGCTCCAGGTCAACTAGGCAATTACGTGCTGCCAAATCCCGATGAATGCAGTTCTTGGACTCCAGATAACGCATGCCTTTTATAATATTAATAAAATATATAATATTAGTAATTGAAATTAAATTTTGTAGGATTTTTAGCAGTCTCACCTGCCGCTGCATCTCTGCACATGCCCATTTGCTGGCGATTCGTAAGGCCATTGGAGTTTTTACGCAAATAAGTGAGCAGGGAACCTCCTGGAAAAGATGGAATTTTAAAAAATAATAATATTAAAGAAGATCTAAGAAAGACTTGAAGGATAAGCACCCAATGTTAAAATAATTTCTATACAAAAAACAAAGAATTTTGAAACCTACCCAGCACCAATTCCATCACAATCATAATGGGCTGCTTTTGTACACAAATGCCAATTAATTTCACAATATTTGGATGATCATATTGTTTAAGGATACGTCCTTCCTGCAGGAATTTACGTTTCTGTTCATCGGGCAAAGTCATGCGGCAGGTTTTTACAGCTACATCCAGTTTTGTGGACTTTAGTTTGGCCTTGTAAACATCACCAAAGTTGCCCTAAAAAACAAGCAACATATTAATAAGAAGCACTAAATAAATATGAATATGAATAAGTTAATTTACCCTGCCAATCCTCTCCAGCAGCACCACATCATCGTTGCTCAGTTCCCAGCGTTCCCTGCACACCGGTCTCCTAAGGATAGCTCCCGACTTGACCGTCACTGGCAACTCGGAGTGATATTGATGCATAATCAGTTCCTGGATGCTGGCAAATGGTGGACCCTCAAACCGGAAGTTACCCTCACCGGTGGTCTGGACAATGAAGTGCTTGTGGCCATTCCAGCAGACACTCAACACAATCTGGCTTTCCTCATTGCGGATGGTTTCCCGGACCAGGAAGTCGCCATCGTTGTTTAGCAATCGAACCACTTCCTCCCGAGGCAGGACGCCATGGAACCATTCCTCCTCGTACAACGGACGATTCGTGGATAAAGATATCTGCAAGATCCAGAGAATTAACAAATCTATATACCATAGTCTTAGGCATTAGATTAGTGTCAAGGCATGCAGAAGACAGAACACAAGTGAAAAAATAAAATAGCGCGTCATTTCCACATTTCCAAATGCGGAGCGGAAATGCGTGGGTTGCAGTAGCTCAAACAAAGATACAAACGATATAAATATACAAAAATTAATTATAAATTAAATACTGTAAGCAAAGAAAGGCTAATGAAATCAGAAATATATATATATATTGTTACTACATTAATGTGGAAAATCAAACTTTTCAAGGTTGTGCCGAATGATGACTCACAAATACTTTGGATTTGGGCCGCTTTTTTCGGGCCGGTGGCACTGGGCGACCGGCAAAGACAATTGTCTCAAAGATGCCACTACCCTCGGCTCCACCGTAGATGCTGCTCCTTCCCGAAGCAGTGCTGCTCATGGTAGATCGTTCTCTCCCACCCGGAACAAAATTACTACAAAAAACTACTTGAACTTGCGCAATTGTTCTTTTAGAAAATCCGAAAAGGAAACTGAAATAGTCACGCGTCGTTCTGTCAGAACACTTTTCACTGGCCAAAACCAGACGCCAAACATTCGAATGGGCCAGATTAATGGCAACTGCCTGGCCCCGGTGTCCAAACAGATCGAGGAGAGAACTGAAAGATATATAAACGCTTTATGCTCTTGGTTGAACTTGTATCTCTTGCCTGATCTTGTTCTCTCTTAGCTTCTGTCACGCACAAGTAAATATAGCCATTGGAAGGGTGGAATATATTATAGTTTTAACGAAATTGGGATACTCTTTCTAGGGGTTTTTAATAATAAATTTTTTAATAATATATAACTATTGATGGGAAGGATTTATAGAGTTGTTTTCCAATTTAAATTCTGGTTTAAAGATACCTTTTTCTTATTCTTGATTTTTAAGGGGTTGAAAACCCTTTAAACAGTATCTAAAAGTTTAAAACACAAAGTTTTAGATACCAAATTCTATATAAATTTGGTCATTTATTTACGACGTATAAATTTCGAGCATATTTAAGATACTTTCTAATCTAATCTAAAGGTTACGTGTTTTTCAAGACTATCATAATAAGCTTTTATATTAAAACGCTTCTGAGGAGTTATGGCAAGAAATAATCGAATGAAGAGTTGAAAACAACCTCTAACTTACAATAAGTTCTGCTTTAAATATTATTGAATGAAGGTATTATAATAAGAAAAATATTTAATAGAATTTAGACACCACAATTTTCATTAATTTATAATTATCAAGCTACAAATTCAGAGGTTTTTTTAATATTTAAGTTTATAATATTCTGTAGATTGCAAATAAACTTAAATATATTATTTATTTTTATATTTCCACTAAGGAACTTTGGTTTTTAAGCTAAAAGACAACTATATATCCTATAAAAACCATCATAAAACAAAATCTAAAGCCAGAACACACCTCTTCAATCTCTCTATCCCCCACTGAATAAATTTGTGTGTAAGGTCACCCTGTGTTTTATTTTTATACCGTCCGATAATAAAGCTCTTTCCTCATGTTCTCAATACTATTGAAAGGAACGTGCAATTTTCAATCAAAAAACATGCAAAACTGAAAGAGCAAGCAATGTGAGGCGATGCCAAGCGATGCAATGTGGTTTCTGTGAGAAGGTGGCGCCTGATGGCGCCCAGTTTTGATTTAGATACTCTCGGCTACGGTGGAAGAGTGATGCTCTTGGTTCTCAGATACGGATACGAATGCAGCTAGAGATTCAGATGCAGATGCAGATGCTGGGAACTCACACTGGCCGCCAGGCTGGGCACACAGTAGCAGTGATCCTTCATGCTAAGCACATCGTCACTGCCGCTATCCTCATTATCGTTATGATCATCATCATCCTCGTTCTCATCCAGCTCCCCCGAACTGGACTCGAACTGACGCTCCTTGTGACCGGTTTGGATTTGGACGGATGGCTTGGATTTCTGCCCCGGACAATTGCAGAATTGATCCTCTCGGGCCGAGTCCTCCGACTGATCTCCTTCGAATTCCCGGGCAAAGTCAAAGACACTCTTGCTGGGATGGATGCGTCTTCGCTTGGTGCACTGTTTGCAGGGCTTGGAACGTTTCAGCTGAAAGTTGAGCAGCTTGGAACGGAATGTGTTGCGAATGGCTTTGGATTTCTTTTGGATTTTGGGCACCTTGAATTTCAGTCTTGACTCCTTGGTTTCCTTGGACGGTGTTGTCGTAGTAGTCGTCGTTATAGTTGTGGTAATGGTGCTTGTGATGATCGTGGACTGTGAGGCACTGTGATTGCTATTGCTGCTGGTGTGATTATTATTATTGTGACTGGAGGAACTGCTGCTGTTTGTCTGACAATCACTACTGCTGGACTGAATCTTCTCTGGATCCTGCTCCTCGCTGAGGGTGCTACTCTTACCCATTCTCACCAAGGGACTCTTTGAGAACTCCTTGAGATTGCTGAATATATTACTAATGGACTTTTGGGTGAAGGAGAGTGATCTTTTCTTGGAGTGACCACCCATATCCTTGGAACTTAGCTGAGAGGATCGACACTCAGAGCTGGAGCTGGAACTCCGTTTGGTGTGGCTATCCGGATCTTTGGTTATCTTCCGGGATTGCACTGGTCCCTCTTCGGCGGACTCTATGGCATTCACATCATCGCTGGTCTGGAGATTTCTCTTCAAGCGATCATCCAAAACACGATTCAACTCATCAATCCTGTCAAGGTGAGCATCGATGGAGTTCTGTGGCGCCGCTGTGGCTTGATTGATCTCTATTTTAACCTGCTGTTCCCTTTTTCCGGAAGGAAACTGCTCGTCTTCCTCTGCATCACTTTCCTGTCTGTTCTCCTGACCCTTCTTGCCCAGTTCAAGATCCGCGTAGATGTGATTGTTATTGGTGTTAGTAAGAACAGCAGCGGTTAGCTGGGTGAGCGGAGCGGGTGAGATTATAGTAGCCACCGGCAACGGCTCCAGTGGCTCCTCATCCTCACCCAAA